TTTATTGAGGAGCTCAAGTCTCTGTGCAGGATATTTTACACCATGCAAAAGAAACTCACTTTGGAGTGGCAGTGGGAGATGATTTGGAACCATTTTTTCCCCGGTGTTTTCATCATTAAAGAAAATGAAATATGTGCATTGGAAGATAAGCTCAGAAGCAGATCAAGGATGAATTCCCTTAGAACGGAGATAACTAGGTACTTTCTTACTCTGGCAGTTCCTTTTGCTCTGTGAGTTCGATAATATTTGGTAAAACCACAAACAGTTCACTGAGGCACAACGTTAGGTGTGTGTCTTGGGAGAAAAGATCTTAGAGAATTAATTTGTTGTTTAGAGGTAAAAAAAAAAAAAAATCACTTCCTGTAGGTTAGCTGTTCTATTTTGAGCTTGAAAAGAGAAGTGATTAACGTTTCTTTCTGGGCTAGCGGGCCATGGAATAAGACTCAGGAAATAAACAGAAGGTAGTTTCAGGCTGCTTGCAGAGAGAGAAAAATCAGAATGAAATGGGAGCTAATCACAGTCTAGTAAAGACAACACAGGCGTTATTTTGGCCTGAATAAGCAGAAGGTGACTTTGCTGAGTTATCTGTCACAGTTCTAAAGAAAGGTCTCCATGAAATGGTTTAAGCTGCATGAACTTTTTAAATGTATATTTTACACAGAAGTGTATGAATATATTCTTGCAACAGTTAATAAGAAGCTTATAATTAAAAATGTGAAAATACCTTTTAACTGCTTTCCACTACAATAACCCCATTTTTCTCCACAGAGAAATCTACCATTACTAATTTCATGCACATTTTCAAGTTGTTTTTCCTCTGCTTTGTGTAAGTATACAAATAATACTTTTTAAATAGCTTGCATGTTGATCCACCACTACTTTGACAACTGGGAATTTCTTGTAAGATTTCTCAGAATTTTTCTAGCATCTCTTAATTTAGATTGACTACCCTTTATTTAACATTAGGCTATTGCTGAATATTATGCCATTTCTCATCCAAAACTTGTTTCTTAACCAAACTGTGCTTTCATGAATACCTAAGTAAAAAAGAAAAAGTTCTAGAAGTGGCATTATAGTGTCAACAACAGAGGGTGATTTAAACTTGGAAACCAACTGTTTTCTCAAAAGGGTTTTCTGGTTGTCCTTTCTACTACCAGCCCATATAACACGGAGGGTAAGCAAATAAACTCTAGAAACTAGGTTGAAGTTCTAACTCTGACACTTAGAAAGATGCTATCTCGGGCAAGATACTTAGCCGCTGTTTTATTTAGTTTCCTGTCTCCATAATGTACATACTAGGAACATTAACATTGTGCAATATTAGTTAATATAAGAGATGTGTGATCAAAAATACAATATATGTTTAAATTAAATCAGTTTAGTACACTACAAGACACATTGTCATTAATCACCCTCAAAGTATCTCCCCTTATTCTAGACACACTTATCTCATAACTTGTGCTGTTTTCTGAAGCAGTTGTGTAGGTGCTCTTTTGTGAGGGTCCTTACAAAATATGGTAAAAATATGGTAAATGCAGCTGCTGAGTGCCATCCAACACAGAGCAGGCTCGTAAAAGCATGACATCGCCATCTATCTTATTTAGTGGCTCTGCCACCGTAAGACTTTTGGCTCTTCCCTAAAGTCAAAATAACCATGAACAGTAAACATTTCACTCCATTCTGGACATTGAGGCACCCAGAACAGCACAACTGAAGGCACTCGGGAAAGGTAGTAATGGTAATACGTTTTTCACTGCAATTTTTAAAGGCTTAATATTTGTCATTTTTTGATCACAACTATCATTGTTGACGTGGGGCAGCCATAGTAATGTTAGAAGCACATTACTGGTTGAAACTAAATAGACTGAAATACCAAGTCACTCCTTGATAGTTATATGATCTTAAATGAGTTATTTAGCCTCTTGATGACTTCATTTTATTATTTTCAAAATGGGACTAAAATAAATACTCATAAAGTTCTTAAAAACATACATATTTTTAGTTGATTGGCACACCACATTAATGAGTTATAATTTGTAACACTATTAACTTTTCGTCTTTTCCTACACACTAACCCACATTGGATATTTGACAAATAAAATGTTAATAACTTAATATACAAAAAAATTATTTTGTATTTTTTGTTCGTAACAAAGTACTAACTTTTTATATGTCCAAGTCATTTATAATTTTTTGAACTACTTGCTGATATTCTCATGTTATTTTGTCATTCCATTGTTATTATATAAGAGTTTTACATTATAAACATTCAACCTTTGTATATCTTATATACGTGTTTGATTTCTTCCTTTTTTTTTAAATTTTTCTTTGTAATTTTTGTAGTTATTCAAAAGCCCTCCATTGTTTGGGGGTATTTGTTTGCTTGTTAAGACAAGTTATCTCTACGTATCCCCATTGGCCTTTAATTTGTTTTGTAGCCCAAGATGACTTTGGACTTGTGTTTCTACTACCTCAGCTTCCCAAGTGCTGAGATTACAAGCCTGCACCACAGTGTCCAGCCAAAAAGTCTTCAATTTTTACAAACAAATGTATCATGCTACTTTTAAATTGTTCTTGAAGATGTAACTTTCTTAGACATCTCTTCTACACTTATTCAAGAATATGGTTCATTTTCTTCTTGTGTTTTTTTCATTATTAAATAATTCCTTAATCTATATAAAATGCAGTTTTAATTACATAATGAGACTCGAGATATAACTTCATTTTTTCTCTAAATATTTAGTTGTCAGAAATTCAATTATAAATGTCCAGCTTCCTTTATTTAATTTCTTATATACAGTCACATAACATATTTCTGGACTTGTTTCTCTTATATGAAATCATTTTCTATTCTTATTGCAGTATTACATACTGTTTTAACGTCGGTTAATTCTGTGGTATTTTTTGTAAGAGAAAAATTCTTCTGTCCCAACTCTTTAATATTTGACTTACTGACAGTTTCTAGCCATTATAGACAGAAACTCTTGTAACAAGGCTTGAGTAACTTTGTTACTTTGTTATACTGGCATTGTTGAGTACTGCATCCAGCACATCTGGAGAGACAGCAGTGGAGGCTGAAGACATGAGGACAAGAACCAAGATGCAGAAAGCTGAGGCCAGATGGAGCCCCTCTCCTGATGGGAGAAAAGTGTCCAACAACTACAGCAGTTTACTTATAAAGTCAGCAAAAGAGGCGTTTATAGAGAATTTTAAGAGGAGAGTAAGATCCTAAACAGGAATAACTTCTAATCTCCAACAAAACATCATGGCTTGGTGGTTACATGGTGAACAATTAGAGGAACGGTTTGTATGATTCCAGGGAGGTCCAAGTCACTGCATTCAACAGCTCCCTGAGCTGTGTACACTTCTCATGGGGCCTTGTCAAGCTCATGAGAAGCTTGTCCTAGATAACCAAGGTATGGACAGCTTCTCTTCCAACACTTGAGGACTGTGGAAAACTGTCTCCTACTTTTTAAGAAAACAAAACAAAACAAAAAAAAAAACAAACAAACAAACAAAAAAAAACCTCTTGGAGAGAAAATGAAAGCCCACTAAAAGTTTAATTGGTTAATTTGATGAAATAATAAAACATATTTACTGAATACTTATTAACAGCCAATACTATAGTTATTATTTAACCCTCATAACAATATTATGAAATGAAAATTTGCACTCCTGTTTTTTAGAAGAGAAATTTTTCGATAATTATTTACAAGTTAAATCGCTCATCTCAAATCGCATAGCATCACAAACCCTGGAGCCCAACATTCAAATTCAGAACTCTCTGAGCATAATCTTTTAAAATCTGATTATACTGGCAGAAGCTGGTGCATGGCATTGCTTTGTGGACAGCCACACCCAAGCCTATCAGCATGAGCCTGCACCAGGGCCCTTATTAGAAGTGATCCTGGCCTGGAAAGTAACACCACACTGCTGGAGTGGAGACAGCCACACCCAAATCTCTTTCCTTGAGTCTGCACCATTCCTGGACTGCCTGGGGTGAAATCTAGGCCTCACAAGGAAGTGATATGGGTCAGGAAACCACATCATTTTCATTGTTTTGTTGGATTTTGTTTTATTCTTTTTTGTTTATTTGATTACTGTGTGTTTATTTATTTATTTATTTATTTTCATCTATATCTAGCACCAAAGCCTCAGCCTATGCTGATTTGCTAAGACTGTATGTCTTGGTTAATTTTCTCTGATTGCTGAGACAAAATACCTGATGCTTAAAATTAGGGAAAGAAAAGTTTATTTAGCTTACAATTTTTGGAGCTAGCTCCAAGGCAGGGTTGCTAAGGGGCAGCCATTCATAGTGGCTGCAAGCAACAAGAGTCAAACAACAAAAAGGGGAAAACAGGCCTCTGTCCTCTGTTATATTGTATGTCGGTTCCCCAACCCTGGGTGCAGCTTTCTCACCACCAAATGCAGTTTAGAGAAGGAACCGATCACAAACACTAGACTCGGCTGCCTCCATGACTGCATGAAGCTTGGTGAGGGTGGGGGATCTCAACACAAACCATAGCTAAGTATGAGCACTGTAATACAACCAGGCTAAAATGAGTGATCATAGCTGTCAAGTCACGGCTGCTCTCCTAATCTCACAGTGTAAATGATCACATAGGCAGGAGTCAGTCTCATGACAGATGAGAGCGAACATTTTAGACATTATGGGGCACACTCAGTGTGACCAAAATAAACATTGAGTATTCACATTTTTAAAACATTATAGTAAAAGACACATTCTTATTAACTTCTCTAAAAATACTCCGCCCTCACTTTTTAAAAACCCTAATACCATCACCTTTGCCATTTGGAAGCAGTTCTGTTAGTTCTCTTTCATGCTATTACGGAATGTGATTTACAAAATATGATGAATCCTTCTGCTGGGTGCCATCCAACAGAAAGGCAGGCTTGTGAAACAATAAATGTGCCTTCCTCTAGCATTGTGTAACTTGTGGCTTTTCCCCTAAAGTCCAAACATTCATAAAGAGCAAACATTCTGAATCACTTCAGGACATCCAGAGAGCAGCACAATTCACTGAGACTTCCAGAATTGCTTTAGAAAGTGACCAGAAAGGTAGGATAAATATATTAGAAACAAGAAAGAGTTGGTTAATGTGTTGAAGGGGATGTGTAATAATATTTATTGCTTTGTGATTTATTTATTTATTTATTTATTTACTTTGTCTTTTTGAGACAGGGTCTCGCTATGTGGTTCAGGCTGATCTTGGGCTCACTTTGTAGCCCAGGCTGGTCTTGACTTGCAATGATCCTCTTACCTCAGTCTCCTAAGTGCTGGGATTACAGAAGTGTGCCATCACACATGGCTGTAATTTTAAAAAAATTTTAAATGTTCTACATATTGTTTAATCACACCTCACAAATTCTTTGTGCAACTTTGTCCTTCAAGTATGAAAGTAGCCATAAACTGTACTTAACTAAATGCATATGTGAGTGTATTTAGGATATGGAGTGAAGGAGGAGGAAAAAAAGGCAACACACACACACACACAGACAGCAAGACAGAGAGAGACAGAAAGATGGAGAGAGACAGAGAGATGGAGAGAGACAGAAAGAGACAGAGAGGAGGACTGGTAAACTGCATTTCAATAAAACTTTATTTTTAAAAAGTGGTACCAAGCTAGATTTGGTTCATTCACCCCTACCTGTGGATTTTCAATGCAGAAGACTTACAATTGATACTGTAGTGCTGCTTTCTTTTTCTGTCCATGATTTCCAGTTTACCCCATCAAAGACTTAAATCCTATCAACATTTATTTAACATATATTTTGTGCTTTGTTTAGCTAAAAGCATATATGAAAAATATAACTCCTTCATTCAAGAAATTCAAATTCACTTTTCTGTTTTGTATTCTTTTCACAGTAAATGTGCCTGCGTTTTTTTTCTCTTGCAGTTTAGATGTGAGACTTTATTTAGTTGCATTGTTTTGGTCTTTTATTAATGTTCATGTTTTTAAGTTTTTTATTAGTACACGTTTGCAATGCATGCTACCTGCAGTCATCTTGGGGAGTGAGCACATGTTCATAATGCAGCTCGGTTCTTTTAAAATCTTCCTTACCACAGTTGTGGCTTTCATATTTTTACATGTGGCACTTTCTGTACACCCTCCATGTGTATTGAATGAATAAAATAACACCTTAGACACAGGAATTAACTGCTGAGATCACTTGCTTTTGCTCCAGTTTTACTTCTGGTCTTATGAATGATAAAAAGACTGAATTCTTCTGGTTTCAGCCACAATTCAACCTTGTGATTTGCTTTGATCAAAGTCTTTTAAAAAGCCTTAGCTAATATATATATATATATATATATATATATATATATGTGTGTGTGTGTGTGTGTGTGTGTGTGTGTGTGTGTGTGTGATCTCTCCAAGGACAACTTTATTTGATTCATCCTGTGACCAGCTCTCATTGCATACATAACTTCAATAAATCTCAGAGGATGACAAGGTGGTCTAATGGCTATAGCAATTAATATGGGTTTCAAGAAATTTCTCATCCTTTCTGAGGTTCCAGGATAAGTCTTCTGATGTTTGTGGGCATGGATACCAGTCTGTGCTACCTTCAAAGTATTCATGAGATTGCATTCCATGGTGATTCTCTATGTGTGTATGTAATCTAGCTCAAAGTTGCAGTAGAGTCCTGAAGATAATTTATCAACAATGCCTTTAGAGATCTTTGCTTTAAATGATCCCCTCAACCTACTTCCAAGAACAAAAGTGTAACCATTTCCATTTAGTACTATGATCTCCTTGCTTTTCTTTTGGCTGGCTTTCTGATTCAAAGAAACAAATTGATAATCACAAAGTTTTTTTTTTTTTGTTTGTTTGTTTGTTTTTTTTAGTTTTTCTAAAAGTTTGATTTTTTCAGGATGCACAACAAAATACACACAGTATCCAAACACCTTCCTGTCTTATAACTTGACAGGGCTTCAGCTTCAGTCATGGAAGAAGGGGTTTTCACCACTAACCAATGACAAATCGAATAACTGAGGACTTACTTTCTTTGAGGATTGAAGAGTGGTTTCACACACGGTTTTTTAAATGTGTAATTTTAAGCCACTCAGAAAAAAAGAGCATTAAAGAAAAGTGAAAAATAATGACAGATGGGAAATGTATATGTTGTGAAGACATCCCATACCTGATTCACAGAAATTGTTCGATTGTCACATCAAACTTGAGTACAAAAGTTGGATAAAAAGTAACTGGTGATGAGATAGAGGAAGAAATATCTTTTGAGGAAAGCAACCATATATCCCAAGAGAATTTGCTTATTCTGGAGATGACTATATTTTAGCTGGACCAAATAAAGAGTATCAGGAAAAGGCTGACACTAGCTGTCTCCAGAGGGGAAGGAGAGAAAAAACATTAAGTCTCCTGATGCCAAGCACAGAATTTAGCATTCACCTTGAGAGAGGTGGATGTTTTAATCAGAAGGGCTCTGTACTATGATAGGGATATTTTATCCATTTTACAAGTGAGACAATGAGTTTTAAAGGAAATGCATAATGCTAGAAATACTGAGAGGATCCTGTTCTGACATTCGTATCATGATTATGCGTGAATACTATTTTTTTTCTTTTGGAACAATACAGGAAAGCAGATAAATATAAGTTAGAGTTGTGCTCTGTATTAATGAGGACACATGGCCCTGAGAAGTAGCTAAACTTAAACTAACTGTGGGAGGTATTTTTCCTGTCCTAATCTTCCTAATCACGCTGGTTTTTCTAGACCAGAAGTGGTGCATGTAAACTGAAGAATTCAAAAACCTATGGATACAGCTGATTTTCATCAGCCCATGAGATTCCAATTCTTCTGTCCTGAAGACAGTATAAAAATATTTTGCTTACTATCTCCTAAATTTTTAGAATTATTTTGGGAGGGTTTTGCTTTTCTTTTTTTACACTGGAGGAAGATAAATGTGTTAATGTGTCAAAAATTTCATGACTCCTTCTAAGAATATAAAAATTGGATTGAAAAACACTGATTCTTCTTGACTATATATACAGAACGGAAAAAAATCATGAAAGAAAACAATTGAGCACCTACAGAGTTTATGATTCTGTATTTGGTGTTTTATATTCATTATTTTATTTAAATGACCACTAACCTTGCCTTTTGAGAGACAGTCACAAAAAAAGACATGATAAGTCATGTTATTATAAGACCACAATTAGGTGCCTCTTAGTGACAAGAAAATGAAGAAAGCAAAGTGTTATGGATTTGCTCGTGTGACGGTTTAGTCTGACTGTGTCAACCTGATTGACTTGGGAGTCTCCAGGGGTGTTGGTGGAGCACTCTGGTGGGTGTGTCTGCATGGGTCATGGAGGTAAGACCTTGTAGCCATGTCTAATCACTCGTCTCTTTCTCTTGCACTATCTCTCTGCTGTGCTTCCCAGATTTACTGTGCCATACCCTTCTATCATGTTTTTTTTGCACTATGATGGACTGAATTCCTTGAAACTATAAGCTAAAGTAAACCTTTATTTCTCTTTTACTCCTAGGTGTCAGGAACTGTGCCTCAGCACCAAGAAAAGGTGGCTAACAGGATGGCACACAGACCCGCCCATGAAAGGTAGAGCATGTGTTCTTTCAACCTACGCTACAGCCACTGGATGAGTCCAAAGTGTGTGGCTGCCTTGGTTAGACATGAAGGGCAGTTCGAGAAGAAACGGCTCTGTTGCATAGGCAGGCACACACGATCTCTATTCTACAGATAGAGCATGTTGTCATTTTACTACATGGAACACCAAATAAGCACTGTTAGGAGCTGTGGGCTTCAGGGATGCACTCATGAGCATCCCACCTGAGTGTACTTAAAACACAAAGTTATCACTTAGGGTAATTCGTAGAATGTTATTGTCCCCTATCAAGAGGCTCCTCAAGGAAGGAAAGCAAATGTGATTTTCTTACACTCATCTCAGAAGAACATGCTTTGACTTAACTTGTTTAGATTACAGAAACCTCTATCATTTTCTGTTATTGTTGAGGTTTCATTTGTGTGTATTCAGTCATCCTCTTTTAAAATCTCATGGTCTTTTGTGGCCGCGAGTTCAGTAAGATTTGTTGTAATGTATTTATTGTATTCTTTTGTTTTTTAATTTGCTAGCGGAGACTGAAGATTTGTGTATTTTTCATCAAATATTAAAATAATTGCTATTATTTTGCTACATGTGTTCTTTCTTATGTTTCACATTCTGCTTTAACTCCAGTTAGACATATACTAATCTTCCTCGTGCCATCTTCCTGCCTCTCGTATTTGCCATATCTTTGTCTCTTTTGAGGCATACTTTGTAAATTTCTTCTATGTGACAATACAATCTTTGTCTTTTATTTAATCTAATACATCCATTCAATTTTATTTTATTTATTTTATACTATTCCTATCATTCCCATTTTTTCATATTTTCATGTTTTTCCAATTTTAATATTTTACTACTCCATGTTTTGATAACATTATATTTACTGAAACATTTTAAATATATGCATGTTATGTGTTGTACATGTTGATTCTTTGAGATCTTATAGTTGCATTTTTTTCTGCTGATCTTACTTGAGTAGGTTTAGCTCCTGTGTATTTTTCTTGATTTATTGTGATTCATACATGGTAGAGATGTATCTGTGGAAATCCAGCAAGATCTACAAGAGTGGACCTGCCAGATATAATTTTCATTGACTTCTGTCCATAATTTTCATTTATTGACAGTTTTTCAGGAGTTAATACTAACTAAAAACTAACTTGGGGTACTGTTTTAATCTTGGAGTTTCTAAGCATACTTACACCAAACCTGTGTCGAGAAAGTTCTTGTGTTCAGTTCACACTGAGCTCTTAGCAGATGTTTCTTAGCAGATCTCGAGGTAAGATAAACAAGTTTCTCTGTCTTGGATGTTTTCTAGTCTACCTTTCAGTGAGGGCATCGTACTTCTCAGTTTTCCCTTTTAAAGCAATTACTGTTCTCTTGTATCATCTAGTTTAGGTTCAAGGTCATTTCTGTTGTTCTGGGAGCAAACATTAAAACCTTCTTGCTAGGTATAGTGGTGCATACGTATAAGACCAGCACTCAGGAGAATGAGGTAGGAGGATCACTGTGAGCTGTGAGTTCAAGACCAGACTGATCTACAGTGTCAGTTCAAGGAAGGACTATGATACATAGTGGAACCCTGCTAGAAAAAGAAGGACCTAAACCTCTGGATGCTGAGATTGACAAGTTCCCCTAGGGCAATCATCACTTTAGCAAAAACCTGCCATTCTGATTCCCGTCATTCTTTTGAATTCTAGCCTCTGGAGACCACCCTTACATTCTTGTGAGTTCATTAGAACGATTTTTAAAAGTATTTTGACAAGCATTTTTAGGTGTTTGCATTAAGAGATTTTTGAGACTTTAGATTAAAACACTGCCAGAAACAAATTCAGAAATGAGGAACTGGAGTCTTTTGATGAACATGTGTTCTAGAATCTTTAGGGAATCCATTGTAAACAGTGTTTCTACATATTTTCCAATCAACTAAGATTTTGGGAAGTAGAACCTTAGTTTGTCTATTTAATGTGTCAGTTTGCATGAATTTCACAAATCAGAGGGACTGTAGGAAGAATATTTAACATTGGTAAAATGTGATCACTCTAAATGAGCTAGGTAAGCTAAGTTAACCAAACCTAGTAAAGTCAAGTCAAAAGACAAAAGACCAAGAATTTACATTTTTTAGGCTTAAGATAATTATTTCTTTGGAGCAAGTAGGGAAGAAATTTAACATGTTTCTACTTGTCTCATATTTTATGACATTAAATTTTAATTTTATTGATTTGTATTTATTAATAATGGGCATATTGATAAAGAAGTTTTCAATATAGACAGAGAAGGGCAAGAGGAAGATGAACGCATGGCAGATGCTGCACGCAGTGAGAGTTTTGGTGCTCATTCTCCTAGTCCTTGCCATGAAGAGTCAGGGACAGCAGTGGGAAGAATATGGCAAAATCAGAACGGTTTCCCTCGTCAGTTAGTACTTTTTAAATAGTAAGATAATAGAAACAAGTGGAAATATTTAAATGCATAAAAAAGAATAGATGAATGTCTTCTATAAGTATGTATGTGGGTGTATGTGCGTAAATATGAGTTAGTTTGTAGAAAAGTACACTCCCAGAGACCTTACTGGCCAAGGAGCAGGCATCTATCACACCAGCACAATGCAGGCACAGGAATCTGAGGGCTCAGGACTTGTTCTTCACGACGGTAGGGCAAATGCGGTTATGGTGGATGATTTACCCCGTCTTCTCTCTACCTCAGTGTGATTAGTTGTCAAGGCCAGATTCAGAGTCCCTTTTGTCTTAGTTTTACTAAGATGGAATGTTAGATAGGCAAATAATTAAGCTGAACTAAAATACATTTACTGCTGCTCATGCAATTATAGAATACTCAGTGTTTTCTTTCCTTCTGTCCTCAGAGAAATGACCAGCTTCACCAATTACAGTTAGGCTAATCCACTGCACTAACCAAGGGACATAATTCACGTTTGTAAAACCTGCACAGCAAGATCCATGCTGTTTTCTGGAGAAAAAGACAGGTCAAGTTTCTTATTCATACTTTTGCAGGTTTAGGAAACTCAAAATTCTTCCTCCTATTATTATTTCAAAACTGCTCTGTCCTTTCTTCCCTCCCTCTGTCCCTCCTTTCTATCCACAAAATCATCCTGGACTGATTATTCCAACCACTGTCCAACTCGAGTCTACATAATGACATCTTGGAGAGCCAACCTCTGCCATCTGAACACTGATTATACAATCTTGTGTGGAAGCTCACGGCAGCTGCATCCTGGAGCACCCCAAGGATGCCTATCCCACCGACACTGTTGGAGCCCTGCCCCCTCAGCCACTGCTGCTGGTTCTCCCCAGCCTGGTCACACTCAAAACTAGAGCCTCACTGTCTTATGTGGTTTGCTCTGAGTCTTGGATTCATCTTCAGAGACCTGTGGCTAACTCAGTGGGATCTGTGGTATTAACTCTAACACACAAAAGGGCAATGCCTTATAGACGGACACTGGTGTAGCTGGCCAGGCTGTAACTTAGCTTTTACACAGTTTGGTGCTTTCCCGTGTTTTTCTGAAGAAATTATCTGGGAACAATAATATTTTCAGGCAATATCCAAGGCTGCAGCAAGAGGCAGCCTTTGTCAGTGTGCTGTTAGTTGCTACTGTCTCCTACCTAGTTTGAGGGACAATCCATATGTACAATTCCCTTTAACTTCCTTATTCACTCCACTTCTAGAGAACGCTCATTGTTCTAGAATACTTGAGTGGGAATAAAAGTTTCTTTTCTACCACATATTGGACTACAAGTATGTGTTCTCATGAGTACCATTTTGAAGATATCAGGTGCTCTTAGCATCTCAGTTCATAGTGAGATGTTCTCACTATGAAAGAAAACACGGACCTTTTTTCTCTTTTTTCCAAGATAATGAGGGAAAACTGCTGTGCTAACCATAAGTGGCCTGGTTTCTTATGTCTTTTACTCAGATAACATTATTTTACAAAATCAGTCAGACTAATTCCTTCAAAACCAGAAAATCTCTGGTGTGACTTGTATACAGGGCTATTGATGGAGGTCTTGTCTTTGACAGCATTTTCTCTGTGAAAACAGGCAAAGAAAAAGTGAGAAAAATGCACCTTACTAAGTAATCTCTGGGAGGAGAATGTTGCATCAGCCGTTCTGCTGTTCATTCACTCTTTTTCCCAGAGAAATCCCTCCAGGAGAAAGATGAACAGGGAATCAGTCAAACCCTTTCCACGGTTTGTGCTGCAAGGATGGGTTACCACAGAAAGGCCTCAGTAACAGTCCATGGGTAAGCAATTATTTCTGCTGAATAAGCTCATATTTTTGAGACACTGTTCCCTGGAGAATGTCACTTAAGCTGAGTAATCCTCTAGGTATGAAATAGAAATTTTTCAGAATGTAAATGTGTCCCATGATAGAAGAAATCTCACAGACCTCACTAGGAGAACTCAGCTTTTGGTCTGTGCCAGAAGATCTTATGTCTAACACAATCCTATGTCCCTGTGGAGCTGCCCTTGAAGTCCTTGGAGTCCAGCCTAGTTTGTCTATACCTCTTGGTTGCCTGTATCTTTGAAAACATTACGTGGGTTTGCATTTGGTGCTTCACTAATTTATGTGAGCCTGGTTTGACAATGTGGATATTCCTGTGTACTAACATGCTTTCTTGGAAACATAAATAATAAATGAGAAAAAGGCGCATCATCATAGATAGTTATAGACAATATACAGTAAGTTAGTTATATATTTATATATAATTATATACTACATAGTATAGTACAGTATATAAATAACTAACTATATATAAATAGTATATACTTATACTATATATGTTACATTATATATATTTTATATATTAAATGTATTAAATATTGTGAGACAATATTTTAGTAGGCAGACACTATGATGAACAAAGCACTAATAATGACAATTCTTCTTCTGTATATTCATATATCCTGGTTTGATTCTATCATTATTCTAAATTTATACATATATTAAATGATGTAGAATTCCAAGATAATTTCATAAGAATAAAATAAATCAAATTTAAAATGTTTATTGAAAATGACTTTCAGCTAAGTTAAATTATTATTTTTTAAGGATTAAAATCAAATACATTGGAATATTAACTCTGATTTTTCTTTCCAGCACTCGAGAGTGAACTAGCATTCCCAAGGTCAAGTCTAGTGCTCTGCTTGTGAGTTATAAACCTACCCTTCTTTATTTTTCGTCTTTTTTCTTGAGACATGGTCTCACTAAATTTCCCAGAGTGGGCTTGAATTTCTGATCTTTCTGCCTTGTCTTCCCAGATTATTGGGCTTACAGATGCATGCCAGCATGCTCTGTTAACTGTGATTTTTTTTAAAAGGAAGAACACGGTTTAAATATTCAGGTAAAGATATTTTGACTGTATTTAAAATGATGTTCAGTAGAATGTAGGCTTTAAAAAAGTCAGTGATGATGCATGATATAAAGTAGTTCTAAAAATTCTATTGTCATTTTCATTTGATTAAATTTTATGGGATGATTCTGCAAAAAAAGTTTAGTTAAAGTGACAAAGCTAGAGAAGTTAAAATATCTTTTCACTCTCATAACCTTCACTAACTGACCTCATAAAGTTTTTCTGAATTCCATTTCAGGACTGGGTTCAATGTATATGTAAATTTATAGGTAAGGCAGATTAAAAACAATGACTTTTAAGAGTAAGCTTTCTTAAATTCAAACCCCAACTCTAGAGTTTATTGCCTGGGTACGAGCTGAGTAAACAATACTATTGTCTCCTCACAGAAATGTATTTGTAAATTGTAAATAATAAAAACTATCTTTAAAAAAGAACAGAATGATATAATACATGTAGATATTCAATTGATCTTTAAGTTAATAAGAAATCAAAGGTAGCAGTAGAAAATGTCCAGCCCTAATTCTCTGAAATTCTCTTCACAGTAAATGATCATTTTAAAAAAGTGAAGCAACTGCTTACTGATGTGTTGTACACAACCATCCGTCTCCTCCAATAACCACCGTTAGATATCAGCATTGCCTTAGTGATTTTTCTCATTGCTAAGACAAAATAGCAACTCTCAAAGTTAAAAGAGGAGAGGCTTATTTGGCTCACAATTTGTAGCGGTTTCAGTCCACAGTTAGTTGGCTTCAAGGCAGGGTGGCATGGCAGAGGGGCATCGCAGAGGCGAATTGGTTCATGTCAGGCAGAAGGCAGCTAGCAACGAGCAACAACAGACAAGCTGTGACATACGTTCTGTCTTTTGCATCCTATCCATATGGACAAAGCTAAAAGATGTAGGAAAGGGTTTAGAGATATTCCTGAAGAAATTAAATGCTTTTCTAGGTGGTTATTAGAAGTCTGTGGAGAGTGGGAGAGTGAGTATTAAATACTCTGAGCCAGTTTTGAGCATCTGTGCCCAGTGGAAATTGCCCTCATTCTGAACCCAAAGGAAATTCTACAGCACGTGTTGGAAATGGTCTCTTAGGACACAGTTAAATGGAACAAATATATATGGGTTCTTCTTTTCCACATCAGTTCTAATAGCTTGTAAGTTATTCGTGTAGTGGGACATGAAAAATTTTGATGCAGTAAATTAATTATGAAAGTATATGATTGATACAAATGGAAACTTTCCTAATTAGATGATGATGAGAACTGCATGAAGGATAATGTGTGATAAGTGTACCATTATAAGGTTGTATTTCTGCTGAGGGACTTAAGTAATTCATGCTTGTTATTTATAAGATATTAAAAAGCCCCAAGGTAGAAATACAGCAGTACCTTCATGAATTTCTCTTGAATTATTATGTATAATACTTCTGTGGAAATTGTAAGATGGATAATATGTGTTAGGTTGAGTGATAATGTGTGCATGCATGAGACAATCACATTACCTATTAGCTGTCATAAATGCTTTTTCCCAAAATGAGAAAAGGTTAGGTTATTTAGATAACCAGAAATAAATGATCTATTTGTCTAGAGCGCATTGATCTTACTAAAGTCATGGAATAAAATAACTTTAAATTTCAGAAAATAGTGGATGCATCTGAATTTAAACCTTGTTAAGTATTACACATGTTAGCTGATAAAATACCATAGACTTACTAAAATCTTTATTTTCTATTTATAAGGCTAGTGTAAGATGCCTATGACATAGTAGTATCTCATAGGTAAGACCAACTTGTTTCAAAAGGAGAATATATTTTACTTCAGAAAATAGGTCAGTTTTTCTATCGAGAAATGGCATTGCAAGCCAGGTTGCTCACGTGTTTCGTAAAGTAAGGAAGTAAGTTACAATAAGATATCAGGATTATCCCAAAGACGATGTGTAAGGAGTTCACATGAAGAGGTTAGAGGACCTATATACTAATCTTCTCCGTGCTTTGCTAAAGAATAACAGTTTTCTGCTGTGAAGGGAAAGATTGGTGTAAATATGAGCAGTCTGACTCATAAACCTAACTCTAGACAAGCAGATTATTGTGCAACTATGAGAGGAAACTTCCTAAACACTTTAGAAAGGGAAAGAATAATCAGATTCCCTCAGATTTTGTTTTTTGAACATTAGAGGTACAAAAGGGATACATCCTTGGTGGATAAAATACATCTAGTTTGCAAACTATATTGTTAATCATTGATGATGTAGGGCTAGTAATTGTTTTCATTCCAAGGATAAAACAAGGCAGTAGAGCAATATGTGAGTCGAGGCATGTTGCAGAAGTGGTTATCATAGGATAGTTGTCTACCGGAAGTCATCTTTGGATACTGTGACTTCTCAAGGTCTCCCGCAGATCTATTATTTTAAGAATTTATCTTCCTTTCCACTTTAATGCTATCCCTAGTGTACTTTCTCTTTCAGTTTACTTCCTTCTGCTTTCTTCATTTTCTTAGATGCATTTTGAATTCCATCATCTCTTTCTTTGGGAAATCAATAGCTTGTTAGAACATAGTGGGACCTGAAAGGCAGGGCTAATAGTCCTACCCAAGAAGTTGTTGTGCTAACCAGGATCATAAACTATACATAGGCTGTCCTCTCAGTAAGAGTTAAGGGTCCAAAAGAATGACACGAAAGAAAATATTTTGGTTGATGGGAAAGAAAAAGCAAGGAATGAAGAAAACAGAGCTGCTTAAAAAATACTGAAAGTGGTTTTTTTAGGGCATTAAAAATTGTTACTGCTTTTAAATTTTGAGATTACACATTGAAATATTTCAAAATATTATTCAGCGAAATATGGTCCTCTATAATAAAGAACACTGTCTAAATGGAGTTTCTAAAGAAGTTACTGAAATGCTTTCTTTACAGCCCACCTGATTTTTGAATGTGTATCACTTTTACAAATAAGCTGAAATAACAGTATTACAATTGTTTTATCATTAGTAAAACTATAACACAAAACTAAGGCAAGTACCTTCCCTTTCAAAAATGACTACCTGAGTATCACTCCAAGTTTATCCTCCATACCCAACATAAACTAGATAAATACATAGATAACAGTTATTTTGATTAACTAATCTTCTCAGTAAGTTTTTATTTTTTACCTAATACAACTTCATGTGTTTCTGTGTTTTACAAGTTGTTATAAAATGATCGCTATTTGTTGAAACCTTAACTGAACTGCACCAGCGTTTATGTACCTATTTTCTACATGACTGCAAAAAGAGGGAGAAGAGGGTGGGGATGAAACCAGGAACAGAAGATAGAGAGAGATGCAGGACAGGAGGAAGGCAGAAACAGAGGGAATAATGAGAAAACAAACACCAGGTACTTGGAGATTGGGTCTTGGTTCCTAGCTCGGTTGATGCAAGCCAAGGGCAATTGCCTTATCTGGTTTTCACATATTCATTATCTGCTTGTACCTGTCCATGGATGGACTAAAATGCTTGCAAATTCAAAAATTCTCTGACTTTGGAGCCAGAGAAGTTGTCCAGCTTCTTACCAGCTGTCTGTCATAGTGTCACGAGACCACTTGGTTTCTGCTCTGCAGATTGGAGACAACTGGATTTATCTTGCTTAAAACTTGTACGTTTTAATTTTCTGAAGTAATATTTGTAAAGTCTTTTGAAGACTGATAGGTCTGGGAAAGCCCTCAGCAAATATTCAATTAAAATGTGTGAAATTATCATTTTCATAGATCAGAAAGGTCAGACATTAACAGTTTATGGGGTGCAGCCTATCTTTTTCCCTCATTTCCTTTCTGCCATCTGGAAAAGTGTGGTTGTCATGGTTATGTCAGTGATCCCCAGGCATCATGCATTTACATTGTACATTTGTGATTGATTCATTGTCTAGCACTTGGATTGATGGTGTCAGTGCTACACTCACATAGGGATGGAGCCATTATACAATGTAATGGCTGGAAGAAGGCTTGTCTCTCCCTCTTGCCAGTTTCTGTCTTGTTTGAAGCTGCCATGAACTGTGGACTCGCCATGCTACTCTGTGTTGGAGCCAACTGAGTATGGACTGAGGCTTCCAAAAACTGTAAGAAACAACCATTTCCTTTCCCAACTTTGGGCATCAGGTATTTTTGTCTCAGTGACAAGTAAAAAGTAACTAAGACAGA